ACAGCTTTGTTTGTATGTGGAACTGACAACTATTGCTTAACGTTTGTATTCACTTATATGCATCCACTACTACTCACCCTTTTTGCATTAGAAAGCATATATGCACTTTACAGTCCCCCACAGCTTTGTTTGTATGTGGAACTGCCAACTATTGGTTAAGGTTTGTGTTCGCTTACATGCATCCACTATTACTCAGGCTTTTTGCAATAAAAAGCATATATGCACTTTACAGTCTGTCCAGCCAATCCGGGTAGGAAAACATTTATTTGTTACCTACTATTCAGGATAAAGCACTGCGACAACGACAATATACAGGCAAATTTGTTGACTAGTGTGATGATCAGTTTACAGACTCATATACAGTGGGCACATATAGATCACAGCTCACCTAAGCAGTTAAGCCTGGAAGAGGGATCTGATTCCAAATCCATTTATTAAGCTCCTTAACTTGGGTTCCAGTGCTAGTCTGTTGAATGAAGCCTGGGAAGTAGTTACCATCACTTTGATGCTGTGGTTATCCAGAAACATCACATTATCTGTCTTCTTTGTATTTCTCTCAGGTAGCTAATAGTTAAACTGCCTGTCCTATTGCATTTATTATCTTAAAAGCAAAACCTTTATCCAAAAGGAAGAAAACATTAAATTAGCATTTTTCAAAGTTACTTTGTTTTCTTGTCTTCAAGGATTAGTAGATATTACTTTAAACTTCCTTTTTTTTTTTTTTGGTAAGCGCTCTGTTTGAAATCTTAATTTAATTAGCTTAAAGACAAATTCATAAATCTGCTAAATTAAAGAAATATAGAATATAAATTTAAAATAACATTGTGTAACTACCATCATTATAATACATTAGAATTGTGCTGTTGCAAGAAGGTAATCCTTGCTTGATTCATAAATTTGCTTATTCCAAGCTCAAGCTCATGTTTCAGTTGCTTATTTTGACTGCTGAATTCCAGCTTAACTTGTAATTTTGTGAATTTGTGTAGCCTTTTGTATTAAAGGGTGATTGCAAAAGTACCTGCACTGTCCCCTTAAAAGCACACCGCCTCTATCAGTTGGTGTCGTGGTCACTAGAAAACAAGAGCCTGATGATCTTACTGCACCTAAGTGATTCTCCTTGTTTCTGTGAGGTGGATGGAAACTGAAAATAGAAATGTCCAAGTGCTGCTTTTAAGAAAACCCAAACACCATTTGCAGCTGGAGGGAAAAAAAAAAAAAAAAAGGCAGTCTAAATATTGAAGGAAGCTCTGCCAAAACTGCAAATACGATCAGAGCACCCCATGGTGCAGCTACTGTATTTTTTTTTTTTAAGATCCCTTTTGAAGCCACAGGAAAGGGCTGTGCAAGTGGTTCAGGTGGGAATCTGAACCCACCTTTATCAGCTGAATTCCTGACCCCAAACTCTTGCAAGTTCCAGCTCAGCGACACAGTGCAATGAGGCCGTGTCATCGCGGTGTCCCTGCTGGGTCAAAGGATCCCTGTGCTCTGGGATCCCACGTCCTGGAGTGCAGGAGGAGTTCAAGGCAAGATTGGGATTCACCACGTTGCTGGGTTAGCGTCCAAATGTGAACTTCACTGGCTTTGCCCTTCCCTGTCTTCAGAAAGGGCTAACACTCTAATGCTCTGGGGTAAATACTAAATGTCTCTGCAAAACACCAGTAAATGAAAGAAATTTCTGTAGACATCTATTGAAATTTTGAGTTTATTTCTGAATATCCTATAGAACAGTGAGCTTTTACTGGTAGACTTCCTATAGCATTTACAGAATCATGAGTAGACAAAAAATCCTCCCAAACAGGGAACTAAATAAATAATAAACTGGGATATACCTGCAAGAAATTGCAAGTCACATTTTAAAGTCTATCTTATTAGCTAATTAAGACAAAATGACATAGCTAAAATTTCAAGATATGAAGCATCTCTCAAAAATACCAAAGCTGCTAAAATAATCCAGTAAAACAATTCAGAACTTCTTAATGAGGCAGCCTCTAGTGTAGGATTTTGAGATTTGAGGACTCACTCTTTAAATATATATGTTTTACCAAAAACAAACAGACCAAAATAGTCATCAGTAGCTGCAGGTTTGTGCAGAGGTTGACAGGTTGGAATGAACGATAATTATGTGGCACCCCCTCCCACATTACAATGTAGAATGACTGCTGACATCTGCATGCCCATCGGTCTTGCTTTATGTGCCATTACCTGTACATTGGACATTGAGTGCATTTGGTGAATGGCAGCATCCTGAGACACCTCCAGGATTTTTTCTGCTATATCTCTATCCTTTTGTTTCTCATGGTCTGTTTTATAAATCTGTTTGGAGTTTTTCCAGTTCACTTTACTTGGGTTCTGTACCGCTAAACACTTTCACTGGCAGAGCACTTCATACATGGATATTTTTCAATTTATGGGTTAAGTGTCAGCAAAAAATATGTCTTGGCCTTGCAGGTTGTGAGTGGCAGATGAGAAGATAAGAAACGTGATAATAATGACATAGAAAATCAATGGCACGATACATGTTAATGGGTGCAGTGCAGCAGCAGTTCTTTAGTGACGGGAGGCTGAGCAGGCTCTAAGTCTTTTGCTTTATAAAGTGTCTATGATCCTCAGGCCCCACGCTGGTCACAGCTCAAAGTTATCTGGACTGGATAAGTATTAAGTAGCCAGCTGAAATTGTGCTGCACCTTGCCAGGGTAAGACACAGAGAAGTGAAAACCCAAGGGGATGGAGTAAGATGATGACTTTGAGCGATACTTGTTACGGCAATCCCATGAATTGCCTGACGTTGATGGGTGGTGGAAGCAGCTCGAAGGAGGATCCATGGCCCGATCTCGACTGGACTAAGCCTGAAATTGTCTGGAGGCTCCATCTGCTTCCCAGCTCCATCTCCACACTCCTCGTGCTAATGTTTTGAGGGACAGGACGAGGAAATCTGTGACCCAGGGATATTTGTCCTTGACTAGTACAGGGGCCACCGTAATAGTTTTTACAGCCACCGCTGGGCTTGCTGGGGCCATCCTTTGCCCACTGCGGGATGCAGCTAGCCCAAGCATAACTGCAAAATCCATCCTGCCACAGAACTGTTTTGGCTAACAGGTCCATTTGGGCAGATTATTCAGAACCAGAAGTGGTTTCTATCTGAGGAATTGACTATTCATTGAAATCCTTACTTTTTCTTTAATGGCTTGGATCAGAGGAAGTGAATGCTTTCAGGCCTAAGGTTACACACAGACTTTTATGGTCAATGACCATGATCTCTTCCTTGAATTGTGGCACTTTAATGACAGCCACAAATGCTAAAACAGGCAGAAGATCTAAACTGGTGTTTCTGGCACCCTTGAAGCAGCACATCTTAAGAACAACATTATATTTTAGAATAACTTACCAGAAAAAAAGTTTAAATTCTCTTTCAAACAATACTAAACATATACCAGAAATTTCCCTAGGCATCAGCTACATTTTTGACCTCAGCAACACAGAAAAATAATCCATTACTAGAACAAGATAGATAACACCTGCCCTGTCAGCAGACTAGCTCTTTTCCCATAAAGTAGAAGACAGTCAGGCTGTGCATGGACAGAGATCTCATAAGAGGGAAAAATTTTATTGTTATACTTCACAAGTTATTTTTGACAGCAAGCTAAAATAAATAAAGTATATGGAGGTTGGGTGGAGGTTCTCACAGTACTTTCATGAAAGCTAGTTCAGCCTTAAACTGTACATGATGCTGTAACAGCCCAAAAAGAAATGTTTGAATTTTGCTCCTACTGGTAACGCACAAGACAGTGTATTGTCTAATAAGATACTTTGTAATGGGGAAAAGCAGAGAGTGAGGTTTGCATTGCTTATTTCAAGTTATAAGCACTTTTTGCTGGGGGAATTCCATGAATGAAGCAAGTTATTTCAATGAAGACATGAATCTGGATGGGAAATTTTAAGAGACTACACACATAACTATACGAGGTGACGATTTTGATTTCACAATTTAGTCAGAACACTTCCTGCCACCAGCATTTACAACAGCACTAATCCCATTACTGTGTCATATGTCCCACTGTCTGCACAGGTGTTCTTTTAAAGCAAAACCTTTTCTCTCTATCAGCACAGACACCACTTTCCTCTTTCTTGTGCTGTAGAATTATTACAGCAAGCCTTGGCCTACACTGACGAAGCCAAGAATAACTACCCCTTAAAGCAAGAAATTTATTCTTTTATTCATACCACATTTTTGTTATTAAGAAAAAATCTGATTCATAAAAGATTACCCTATGGCAATATGCAGACTTTAATATTAATGTCATTTTATTTTTTTAAAAAAATCTCTAAAACAGAAAAGATTAAAGTCAAGAATGAATAAATACTAGTATCTGCCTAGAAGCTAAATCTGTGCCCTTTGTTTCCTATCTTTTGCCATCCCATGGACGTCTCCAGAAAGTTAGAGAACATTTTCTTTTGAGCAAAAGAAAAAACCCTCATGGATACGAATGTGCTCAGTAGTCTCTGAGAAATGACTGGAGGTCTCGTAATTTCTCAGTCACACAGTACCAAGTTGGCTGTATTCCCTAGGTTTTATACAATAATTAGACAGTCACTCAAATCACTGTTACTCAGTTCTTTTGCCTCAAAAAAAAATCATTTTGCAAGAATGTGCCTCTTGCTGACTGATCAGAAAATGAACATTCAGATTTGTGTTGCTTGTAAAAACTATGACTGACAATACCATGCAATTCAAGAAGCCTAAGGTTATTCCTATGTTCTCTTGAATCAGTATGAAATACACTACCGTGCTGAAATCTCTAACCCTGTATTTTTATGCTGTCATTTTATTCTTGGAAATGTTATCTCTGGAAGGCAGCAATTGCACATCCTCCTCCAGAAAAATGAAGGAACATTCATTTTACTTTTTAATGTTTTCACCGTTGGACGCAGGAACTAGTTCACAGGGAACTGAGAGACTGATGATGAATGAAAACGCAAAGTAGCAAGACCCAATTACTCACTCGTGCTAGGCTGGTCCCAGAGGGAACCTTGTAAGGGACGTACTTCCTGTAGATGTGCCCGACTCGAGAGCATGGGACATCAAACATGCCACCTCCACACATCCACACCTGAAAAGGAAACAGAAAACAAAGGCAAGAATGATTCCTGGAAATAAATGAGGCCAAAAAAATATAAATAATGGGATATGTGAAAACCACACAATTCTGTACTTACTCCTCACAGTGGTGGTTTTCTGTATATGCTCAATAGATATTAGATAATGTGGCAGATTGTTCTTTGCTACCTGGGAAACTCCCTTTGCAAAAGCAGCAGACATTCAAAACAAAGCCATAAAACCTATTTAATGAGTTTTATTAACATGCTCATAAACACAGTAAGAATTACAAAAAATATTAAAACAAGGCAACCAGCAGCCCCGTGCGTCATAACCAAGATTTCTTTGTGTCGAAGACAAAAAAAATATTCAAAACATACGGAAAGATGGTTCAAAATATATAGAAGTAAATCAGATATAAAAACAGAGATATTCTAAAACACTTGGCTTATAAATTGTACTGATTAGTGAACATGGAGCTCAAGCATTATGTTCATTTTTCTAAAGGAAAAAGGAACAAAACAAACCAATTTCCTGATGATCAAATTCACATACATAGAAAAAGAAGGGCATGCCATGAGGTTTTATCATTAATACTTTTAGCATTGAAACAAATGGAATCATCTGGACATATTTCTTTGATGCTTAAGGTCTGAACAGCCAAAATTTTACCCCAAGTTTATGGGAGCTGCAAGGACTTGGCAGCTTAAAAACAAAATCAAGCTGAAGCAAAAACAAAATCAAGCAAGTAAGGAATTCTTCACAACTTTTAGTGTGACTAATCGTAACAAGCATATGTGAAAGCAAGGTTGCATATTCAGAGAAACTACAGAAATCGGGGCAGTAACACCCCCAGGCAGGATTTTGTGTGCTTTGGCACAGAGGGAAAGCCACAGAAGTCTAACTTGGTGATTAGAACATGTCTCTAATCACCTGCTCAAATCAGCAGTACCAGGTACTGTGATACTGAAGAGATGTGTGTATTCTTGAGATAACAACATGAATACCTAAAGATATTGTCAATAAATACATATAAATATACATATGTATATGCAATACGACAAATATATATTGCATCAGAGGTAGAGAGGCAGGCATATAATGAAATATCTTTATTAATTTGAAAGAGAACTAAGGTGTACCCAGTTCCTATCCAAAGGGATTTTCTCTGTATTTGGTGCATTCAGTACATGTGAGTGATGGCAAAACAAGTTTGGGACTGAGGCTAAAGCAGAAAGGTATATAAGCAATTGAAAATTTTAACAATGAGTTACAGAAAGGAGTTCACCTCAAAGCTGATTACTTCAATATCAACCAACAAAAGCAACAGAAACCAGATCCTCAACAGCAGGTTCATCACAAACACTTGACATTCTCTAGGAAGCCTATGGAGAACAGGCAACGTCCATCCCTACACTCTCTTACCAGACATTTCTCATGCTAACACGTCAGATATGGGGACAAATTTTGCATTCCAGCAGCACAGGGCGTGAAAGGTACCTGTGCAGGGCATCACTCAGCCAAATGCAAGCTCATATGCTGACAGAATCAGAAGTATCTTAATATTTTCGATGTCGTGTGAATATCCTACTTGGAACACGGTCCTGCTCAGGAAACAAATTTACCAGTAGGTTCGAAATGGAGGCCCAAGTGAATGCTCTGGCTCTTTGCCAAAAAAAGCTCATTACAGCCTAGAGCAGACTTGCTCTGTCAGGTAGACATGTTTTTTCTTTCCCAAAATATTTTGTAATATGCACTTCTTAAAGAAAACTTGCATTCCTCACCTGTTTAATCTCGTATCAACTAATTCACTGGAAAAACACGCTCATAAACACAGTAAGAATTACAAAAAAAGATAACATTAAAATAAGGCAAGCAATGGCACCATTAAAAACATATATTTCCCCTTTCTGACAATACACTGCGTGCTGTATCATTTTATACCTCTTTTTAGGGGAAATCTCTTATGTGTTGCTGTCTGCAAATAGCCTAGTGTGCTGATGAAACTGCAGATATATATTTAGTGTTCATCACTGTGTTTTAAATGAAGGTGTTATTGCAGAGACTAGAGACTGAAGCGATTACACAAGGTTTCTCAGCCCTGGAAGAACAGACTACATAGCAGGTGGACCCAGGGCAAGGTCAGCCACGGAACATGTTTAAAACACAAGAAAGGAGAAATATATATAGGCCAGTGTTACTTTAACTCAGACAATGAGTGCTAAAGACGACATATATTGCATTTCCTCTAACGCAGCAGGATCTGAATAAAAAAGGGAAAAAGCGTTAGAAAAAAATCTGTCGGATACACTGAGGCAATAACATGTGGGAGGAAATAACACTTTGTATTGGGCTTATATTTGATAGATATAAAACCTGAAAATGCTGTGCTGCACCTGAGGTGCACAGAGCAAGGTAATTGAAATGAGTCCTGGGCTGCCTTGAAGGACATTTAGCAGCTGTTCCTGTTTATCTTTCAGCTTCAGAATGATTTTCGAGGCATTTTTATACTTTCCTGGGAAAATCAATCCTGGCAACCTTGTCTTTAAACTGTGCATTTTTGTGTCACCTGCACTAAATGCACGAAATTGGAAAATGACTTCTCTGTTAAATATTACAGATCTCCAGCGTACCACAAAAGGAATTCAGGTGGTGAAGCCGTATTGCAGCGCTGATGCCTCTGTTTATCTAGCAAGCAAGCAATGAAACTCCAGATTGCCAAGGTCTCCTTCTTACAAAAGTGAGGAATCCACACCGCAACCAGGGCATAAAACGAACAAACCAGCCAACCAACCCAAAACACAGCAACAAAAACAAAGCAACAAACCTCCAGTTTGCAAATATCAGAGGAGAGTCATTTCTGTGCTGACTCCGGCCTGTATCACAATTTACTCTCACAGAGCCCCTTCCAGCAGACACAATTTACAGGGATGGCTGGAAGCAAATGGCAAGCACTAAGGCAAACTTGAAAAGAGATTAAGCTGGTTTTGTTCTTGACTGGAGCTTTGATGCCACAGATGCATTTTCTGGCTCTGCTGTAGAACCCTTGTGAGATTTCTGGCAAAATCACCCTCTCTGCACTTCACTTTGTTCAAATGCTACTTTCTGTCTTTCTTTTTATCTGCATTACCTAGTTAGTTTGTGAGTAATCCAGCCCTGGCACTGTCTCTAAAATGTAAACACACTGCACACTAGAGTGACACTGCAATCCATATGCTACTTCATAATTCTAATTGCTGCAGTAAGAGACTCGATTTCTGCAATTTCTGAGCAGGAGGATGTGCTGCCATGGAATAGGAATATAAACAGATAGCAAGCTACATAAAAGATTGAGGAGGGACAGATTGGATCTTGGGTCAGGCTTCAAAACTAATTGAAAAATATACTGCTACTGTGGGTCAGGAATAAGACAGACAACAGCAGGAGACACTAAAATGGATAGGACAAGACAGGCAGTAAACTGGTGGTAGAGGAATATGAAGTATGTCAGGCAAAGCCATCAGCATGGGGCACTGAGCATTTTGCAAAAAGTAAAGGCTATGCACAGGAGAGCTGTATTACTGTCATGGGACTGAAAAATCTGTAGAAAATAAGAATATATTTAGGGATTTTTCACTTGTGCTTCCTAAAATATAAACCAAAGGGCCAGATTTGGCAGTTGTTGAAAAAGACGAATATTTAACTGTGAATTTTTCCATGTAGGGACAATGTTCAGCCAAATGAAAAAAAAAAAAAACCCAAAAAACTAAAAAGAGAATCAATTACTACCAAATCTGTAGTCAGTGGGGTCACAAACAGTAAAACATTTACTGGTGAATTTCATGAGAGCAGTATTATAACAGCACTGTGTAAACTGAAGACTGGTAACTGTGGATTTTACAGCAACACTGACTGGCACCTGTAAAATACGGAGGAAGGAGGTCGCATTCCTTGCTTGTCAGGGAATCTATACTTTGGTATAGATTAGAACTGCCCTAACAACTCCTAACTGGGTTCCCCTATTCTCTGTCTCCCACCAAGACTCCCAGCAGTGCTGGGAATAAGACTATGGGGCTAAAGAAATGGACTTAGGCGTGTGAATTGGGAGACAGGGACGAGGAAAACCTGGAAGATTTGTCAACATGTGTAAGGATACAATAGGCCTAAATAGAGGAGACTAATGTCAAGGAGGTGAGGATACCACCTCTAGCACTTTTGCCCAGATATGATTTGAGATTTTTAATGTTAAGACATTGCTAAAGAACATAGAGTCTTCAGGAAACACAGAAAATTCATTCCTTTTCTTTTACTTCTCTGTCTTTTGGAGCTTACCACATTAACAGTGTCTTTCTAATACAAGTATTTAGGACTTCCTAAACAGTAATTTCCTCAGTAATTGAGAAGCTATTCATCAAGTCACTAGTTGCAGTTTGCCAGCTTTCACAAGTTTAGTGCATGCTCAGCAGTATCAGTAGGATATCATGCATCTTTTTAATTAAAAAATTGATGCTGAGGTTTATGTTGCCAGAAAAATAAAATAGTGTATATTATTTCTTCTGTAAAAATGAATCTAAGAAACTCTTTTATGAAGAGTATGTATTTGAGACACAGGCTGTGTGGCTGCCTCACCCTTCAACGAAGGGGCATGCGAGTGCTCTGATTTGGAAACAGCATTTAATGAACACAGCAACCACCTCTGTGCTTGCTGAAATCCTTTACAGCCATGTTACCAAGCATGAAATGAACAATAAAATAAATAAATAAAGTTGGGTTTTGCAGCTGAGGAAATAAAGGTCAAGCAAACTTTTAAAAAATGGCTTTTAAGTTTGAGGAGTACTTTCATGAATAACTACGTCATTCTGAATCTTTTTTTTTTCCTGCTCTGCAATGACACAATTCCAAACATCACAGAAATACTATAAAATCTACTGCATTTTGGAGAAACTTACTGAATTAGGCTGCAGTGAATTTAGTTTCACTGCAGATTCACTCCCTGAGGTATCTGTTTTTTTTTCCTAGCACTGCCCTCTACCTTCAAACACGTTTTTTCTCTCAAGCTACCTGATAATGCATCTCCTCCACCAAATGATGTTTAGTTAGGACAGGCTCTATGTTCAGGCCTGGCGTCCGTCACCCCTAGCTCAAAGCCAGAGAGAAACAGAGATTGACACATTCCTTGTGGGCTTCCTCGCCCGAGCGGCCTTCCCAAATCTGCTTCCAACCCTTCCTGTCAGCGAACTGTTGGCCAACTCCCGGGCAACTGCTTGACCTGTGGTTGGATCAACAGCGTGGCACATGGGTGCCAGCCCTGGTTAAGACCTCAGCATGTCCAGCAGGACACTTCTACCCCTACATGAGGCTTTCTGTTCCCATCATATCGTTCAATCAATCAGACACATCCTTTCTTCTTTCTCTACTTCACTAATCTTACTTTTTTAATCAGCCCTTGGACTCTGTCATATTATCTTGAATTCAGAGGGGAGCATTGCTTTGGTATCGCTAGTGAGACCTTTGAGCAGTGACTCTGTCTCAGCACCAAGCCCCTTGTGTCACGTTTCTGGGGTATGCAGGGTGTAGTAGAAGGTTGAAGTAGAATTGACTAGAGCTGACATCAAGTTCATGATGAAGAAACTGCTATTAGAGGACTCCTGGCAGACTATTTTATCAAGTCCTGACCAGCACAGTTTAGCCACCACACTTCTTCAAAAGATCCATTTTCTCATTTTCTAAGCCCACACTACATGTGTGGCTCTCCACCTGCTTCGCAGCAAATCTTGTGTTGTGGGAATGACTGTGGATATCCCTCATCCAAGACTGCAGAGAATTTGAGTTGAGAAGATGGTCTTTCTTAACAACATCTTGACTAGCAAGTGATCCTTTTCCTCTGATATCTAAGCATTTCTGTGGAGCAAAGTTTCATTCCAACAACAAGGAAATCCTTCTCCAAATAAAATTAGTCCAGAGAATATCAAACACAACCTATACTGTTTCTTTAACACGATTTCATGTTTGCCACCAGTGAAGTTAGATATATATCCAAGATATTTCACATATATGTATGTCAAAGTTCTTTCTTAACATACCTACACGGTTACTTTGTACGCAAACTTTAGGGTCGGGCAAACAGCAGCAATAACTAAAGACACATGTAACAGCTTGTCTCTTGTAGAGAAATCTGGGCCTACTGCTATCCTGTTAAGCAGAGGGACCACTACAGTGACCAGGAGCTCACTGATCCATTAAGTGGAGTTTAAGATTCGTCACAGAGTGAGGAGGACCAAAAAGGGCTCCTCAGCCCCACGCGCAGAGCGCTGCAGCTCGAGGCGAACCAGACACTACCTCATTGCAGTGAGTACCTGCCAGCTCTCACTCGGGCACACATTCCCTCATAATTACATCACTGATTTGAATTAAGCTCCAGAATCACGAGTCTGATACTGGGAAGGTCATGTCTTCAGCATGGTCTCCACTTGTAGGAGCTAGATAATTTACTTATTTACATTCATATAGCAACTTTCATATAAATGGATCTCAAAGTTAAAATAAAACGATATATGAAGAATATTGAAGGAATACTGTATCTATTCCTGAATTTTAAAGACTATCCTAAAACAGTCTTCCAAATACAAACTTCCCACAATTACGGGTCATTTCAAAGCAGCTTCCTTTTGCAACTTCTTAATGAAAACCAGTCCTGTTTTCACAAAATACTTAAGAATTAATCAAGTGAAAGAAGAAACGAGTGAGAATGGCTAAGTAGCTGCTGGTTAGAAATGTTCCTGATGCAAAATATTCCAAATAATATGTAATTATTTGCCAAATGAAATAACATTAATAAGAGGCGTGGCATAGTCAAGGGCACTCATCCTATGACATTCCCATAGGCTGTAGATGTGGACACTCCAAGGAAAAGTAAGATGTAGTTTCAGACTTACTCAAGCAGCAAAGCAAACTGAACCTTGGTCTCACACATGTTGATCACCTACCTTTTTCAAAGACTCGGTGAATAAACAGAGAGCCGGTAAGTCCAATATCATCATCACCATTTTTTTTTTTAATACAGCCCATAAGTTTGCCTGTTTGGTTCATTTGACCTCATTTAACAGAAATTTTAAGATGACTGAAATGATACCACTTGATGAAGAACCT